GTTGAATGATTTTGGCTTTAAATATTTAAAAAATTAAATTAATCATGATATTTAAGAATTACAATTAACTGTATATAATTATAAAATTACAATTTTTGAACTTTGAGTCTGAGTATACAAAGTCTACTAAGTCCACTTGAAGATCCTTCAAAAAGTGTAAAGAAGATTTTTTATAATCTAAAAAAGTTTAAAAATTTGTTTTATCAACAATTTACCTTTGGTATGAACTATTTTTGGGTCAACAAAGTTTTGGGAATTAAGGTCTTGTTGAAATTTTAACTTTTTATCTAAATGATTTTCTTTGGATTTGTATGCCTTTTCTATATAATATACTATTAACAATAAATAAAGTCAACGTACTTTTTTTGAATCCAATATTGCAAATCCTAATGGTCTCCCGCTTTTATTTAATTTCTTTGGTAATTGAATTTCTTTTATGATATAATTTATACATTCATTTTCTTGACTATTATAAACATCTTTTTTTAAAAAAATTGGGACATTATTTTTATTTTACTGTATATTAGGATCCACTTTTGGGTGTGTAAGATCCTCATTTAATACATTTGCTATACTATCATTGGAAAACATCTGACCATTATTTTCATTTGAGCTTGTATTAAAATTATTTGAGGAAATAATTGGTAATATTCCTTCATAGCAAAATCATGTAGTTTGTCAAAAGCCTGAGCAAACCCATGTTTCAAATTAGGTGGTAATAATGATATGGGGTGAAAAAGCATATTTTGATTTTTAAAATAATTATAGGATGAAATTTCGTAATTAAAAAGGTTTTTTTGTATTTAATCCCTTTTTTGTTATTTATTATATCTATATCATTATTTTGATAAATGTCAATAGATTTTTAAAATAATATTTGTGCCACCTTTGATGACATAATTTTTCATTGTAAAGATCACTATTATTTTTTTTCCTTTCCATAAATACATGTCTGCATGGTAATTGCATATTTAAAAAAAACATATTAGGAATATTCCTTTTTTTGTTGGTAACTTCCCTATCCCAAGCTCTGGTTACATGTTTCCTACATAATTCCAATTGAACATGAGGGAATGCTCCAATGTAAGCTTTTCTCCCAGCACAATCTTTATCACTAACAATGACCTTTATATCTGTCCAAGCTGAATTCAGTTTTTTTTTAAATTTGAAGCATTTGTGATGCTACATCAAATGACTCCGATTTGACAATCCATACACATTTATATGTCATCTATTATTTCCATCAATTGATACCAAAATATACACAGGCATATGCCTATTATTTAATCGATATGTTGCATCCACACATATAACTTCAGGATATTTTGAAAAAATATACTGCATTTGATGAGTTTGATAATATATACCAATTAGATTCCCATCTACAGTAAATAATTCCATATTAGCATCATTATCTTCATAAACTTTATCTATCATTGTAATTAAATCATTATCTTAAGTTTTTTTGTATTTTATATTATGCAAATCTCTTAGGGTTATAAACTTTCCTTCAGAAAATAGTTTATTTTTTATTTTGGATTTATTTCCTCCTGTAGTTATAGCTTCAACTACAAATTTATACTGTGCTTCATTAAGCTTTCTTTGTCTGGGTAATGATTGGTATAAATCTTCAACTAAAATTAGATAGTATTTTTATAATCAAAAAATGCATTTTTCATTTGTTTTAAAAACATTATTTCATACTTTTATCTTATATATATTCTATCAAATTAATAAATTAACTCTATAAGCCTATCCATATCACTAAGTTAAATTATATATTTATTTTAATAATTTCAAGATTATGTGCCTTTACCATGGGGATGATTGTGATTTTCATGCATATCCTTGACAAATAATTTGTTTTTCATGAATGTAATTTGCAAATGGAATTGACATCCTTGTTTTATAGACATGTAATTGCGTAGACCTGTGGATTTTGTATTCTACTTTCCACCAAATATACAAAGAAATTTTATGCTTTTATATCTAAATTTTTCAAAAAGAGGTGATTTTAAAATTTTTGAATCTGATATATAAAGATTTATGCAATTTAAATTTTCATATTGCTTTATAGCATCTTGTAAATCTTTATAGGATAAAAATATATCTCATTCTTTCATATTTAAAAGAAGAGTTTTTAAATCTATTAAAAAGGTTTATAAATTTGTCTATATCAACAATTACCTTTGGTATGAAATGTCAACTAATATTGGAAAATAAGTAAGGTATTACTATGGTAGTACTTTTTGGTGACATTCTAAAATCTGATATATAAAGATTTATGCAATTTAAATTTTCATATTGCTTTATAGCATCTTGTAAATCTTTATAGGATAAAAATATATCTCATTCTTTCATATTTAAAAGAAGAGTTTTTAAATCTATTAAAAAGGTTTATAAATTTGTCTATATCAACAATTTACCTTTGGTATAAACTATTTTTGAGTCAACTAAATATTGGGAAATAAGTAAGGTATTACTATGGTAGTACTTTTTGGTGACATTCTAAAATCTGATATATAAAGATTTATGTATTTTAAATTTTCATATTGCTTTATAGTTTACTAAATTTCGTTCACGATATCCATTTTATTATAAATACAAATTTTAAATAATTCGTTAAATTTTCGTAACTTTTTTATCGATTCGGAAAATGCGTATAAATAAGAAAAAATATAACTTTTATTTCTTGCTAATACGCCATTTGGCGTAAGTCTATCATCTCCCCTAAAATTATACAACCAAAACGTGTATCCTATGCAAAGGTTGATCTTATGTGCAAAGAACTTAATAAATGGATACAAGAAAAAATTATTGAGCTGGTAAAAAATGTTCGATGGGCAAGTCCTTTAACTGCCATCTACAAAGATGATGAGAGCATTAGGCTTTGCGCTGATTTTAAGGACACTGTAAACCTAGCACTTGAAGATTTTAGATATTCCACGAATAAATGACCTAATAGCTAAACTTTCGGAAGGAAAGAAATTCATCAAGATCGATTTTAAAAATGATTGATAAAAGTTGCAGAAATATTTTGACAATATCCACGCACAAGGGATACTACCAATTTACTAGACTTCCTTTTGGGCTAAAGACCTCATCTGCAATCTTTCAACAGATCATGGACCAGATCTTAGGTGATATGAAAGATGACATATTTTATATTGATGATTTGCTAATACCTAGAAATAACGATGAAGCTCACTTAAACAACATCAAAAAGGTATTTCAAAGAATATTGTTATACGGGTTAGAACCTAACTTCGCCAAAAGCTTATTTTTTTAAAATAAAGTGAGGTGAGGCTCTTGCTATTATGTTAGCTATATAGAGGTTCCAGGAATACTAAATCGAGACTAAATTCACAATCATTACTGACCATAAACTCTAGCCCATATCTTCAACAAAGGTCTTAAAGACTGTAAAAATGGAATATAACATTAGGAGGCATGATTTCGATATAAAGTATAGAGGCGGGAAATATAGGTTGTTTCTGATTGTCTCTCGAAATTAACACAAGAATGTAACGATGAAGTTGTTGAGAATATCACAATTACAAATGACTTTGGGGATATACCTATTAATATCAATGAAGTACGTGATTTAACTTACAAAGACATTAAATGAACACAAGTCATCAATGATATTAAGAGCAATAATGAGCCTATAAATAACAAGATTTGTAAAAACATTGAATTGGAATTGAGTATAATTAAAGATTATCTTTACCAAAATAATAAAATCATAATTCCGTCTACTATAAGAAAAAACGTACTGCAGGCATTACATGAAAGTCATCTGTGAGCAGGAAAAATCAAATCCTTAGCCAAAGATCATATGCAGTGGTCTGGTATGAATAATGACATAGAGATGCAAGTAAAAAGTTGTGACGACTGTAATATATATCATGACAATCCTAAAAAGATAAAAAAAAACCATGGGTTTCGGCAACCAAACTTTTTGAAATGATACACATAGATTATGGGTACGTTTTCACAAAATATTGGTTGATAATAGTCGATGCTTATAACAAAATTCCAATTATTGTTCATGTCAAAAATATTACGACCGATATCACATTAAGAGAAATTTTCAAAACTATTTTGTTATACGGAGTACCTGAAACTATAGTTATTGATAACGCATAGGAGTAGCCAGGGGGGGGGCAAGGAGAAATCCACTCCCCCTTTAGAAATTTATCTCTTTTTGTGAATATCATTTTAAGCTAATAAAAATATCATCCATAGTCCTCTCCCCACCCCCTGTTCCCCAAAAATGTTGCATATACCTTAAACTATTGATTATAATTCATACATTTTTGGAAAAAAGCAAATTATATATAAAAAAAGTGAAACCAAAAATGTTTTTTAGGAAATAAAATATATGCCAAAGATAAGCCTTAAGGCAAAAGTGAAATGTGAGCATGTTACATTTTTTGAAAATTATGGAAAGTTTTGATTACTTTTATTTTGTAAAGTTAATATTGGTCTCATATCAAATCTTGAGTTAAGGAATATTTAAAAAAGTTAACAGCACAATTTATTTTAAATTAATTATTCTTTTAAAAAAGTAAGTTTATATTTTTAAAAATAACTATCAAATATTTTCAAATTTTGGTTTCTCTTTTATTTAAAAAATTATTTATTAAAATATTCATTAAAAATGAGTTATTATTCTTTAAAAAATATTCGTTAAAAAAATAAGTTGTCATTTATTAAATATCTATCAAAATTATATTTTATCCTCATTAAAAATATTTATTAAAAATATATGTTTTTAAAAATTCGTTTTAAGGTTTTTTTATTTTCTTTTCCAACGGTTATATTTTGGACGTAAAATTGCGCGACACATTCATAAACCTTTTTATATAAAAAAAATTAATAATTTATTAATTTGTAATATTAGTATAACATTTTAGCATAATAAATCTTTTTTACGCTAATATAATTCATGGCTAGACTTTAAAAAAAAATGAAGTATTGTCATTTCACGAGGTAAGGTTAAGTAATAGCTTAAATTGTTAACTTTTTTGCATTCGCTCATTTTGATCATAATGGAGGGTTTATTTTATAATTTATTAAAAATTTATAATTAAATAGAATTAGGTGTTAACAATACTAGCTCGATTGAGAATCCTGTAGTAGTCGATGATATAGTGCTTAAGAGTGAAACTACAACTGTTGTTGAAAATATTAATATAGAAACGGCGCCAATTGTTGAAGAAATAAACTTAGGGAGCAATAAAGAAATAAATCATGATAAAAATGAAATGGATGATAAAACATCTTCGGAATCTGTTAAAATACCCGAAAATGAAGCTGATGGGAACTTTGTTTTTCTTGAAGTACAGAAGTGCTTTATATTTTTTTTATCAATTATTTAGCATAGTGAACCATTGGATACAAAATCTAGTTCTGAAGGCCCAACTTTAAAAAAAAGTAGGATTGATTTTCAATCATTACCAACTAGGGCTTATCTTGATCAAACTGTAGTTCCTATTTTACTTCAAGCTCTTTCTACATTAGCTAAAGAAAGGTAATTAATATTAAATTGATTTTTATTTTTTAAAATAGGCCACTAGATCCCATTCAATTTTTGGCTCATTATCTAATATCACACAAAGATGATTATGATATAAATTCTTTGCCCAATAATAAAATATGAACTAAATACTGTATTTTTTTGTAACTTGTATTAGTTATTATCTTATTCAATTTTTTAACAATAAATTTATATAATATAAAAAACCAAGTTGTGATATACATATATAGCTTTCTAACTAAAATAAATACACTAACATTTGTTGAATATATTAGTATTGTTTTAGTATAAAAAGATATAATATAAAACTGTGCATTATAAATTAGCATCAAACAATTCAATGTAAAAGTAAACAATAAAATTTTAGTTGATTCAGAAAAAATTTATATCTATTGTGACTTTTTAATTATTAATGGCCCCACATTATCACATGAGTTCTGATTATGTTCATTATGAGATCCATCACAGTATGGAAACTGAATAATAGTATAAATATCAATGGTAATGTATTACATACAATTTTGGATCTCCAACAACGACAAAATGCATTGTCTTTTGCCAAATCTTCTATATCAAATACATTTACTACCTTTTTTTCTTCTGGAAACAAAGATAACACGTTGATTTTTTCACTTTTTTCTTTACATTTACAATAATTGTAGAACATATAAAGTGCAGCACATAAAACGATTGCTCCCGAACTTAACACTGGCAACAAAATTTTGCCTTTATCTATAAAGCAAATGATATTATGAAAAAATATTATGAAACCCATAATGTTTAGACTTGTTGGTAAACTCTATCCACTAATAAAATACTTGATAAATCTTTAAATCCTCTAATAAAACTTTGTTAGTATTTAGTAAAAATATAGTTCGATTTTTTTGAAGGATTAATGATAATGCACGTCTTCGGACAGTATATAGCAATTTCTTTAACAGCCACCAAATTTTATGGCTAGTAATAAAATAAGCGTTATGTATATATTATTTTTGTGAATCTTTATAAAAAAGAAAATTAAAATTTTTAACCCAAGAGACGCATTAAAATTTCCTATTTTTCTAAATAAACATGCATTCATCAAATTCAATATGAGAAGGTTACACTTTAAAATATCTAATGGAAATACTTATATACACGATATTTACATCATCTCGGGTTCTTAGTAACTTTGAATTCTACAATTTTAGTAAAAAAATTATTTGTTCTATTTATATACAATTTATTCAACTTAATGAAGTTTACGATTCTGTTTGGAGCCGATTTTTAAACGAAGAACCTAACTATAAATCATATATAACCGTGAGTTCAGACCATTTTCTATAAGGAATAATAAAATAACTATATATTTTTTATTATAGAATGATACAAAGAAAGCTTCAATAAGATTTGACTTATCGAAAACGCTTACCAAAACTTATTCCGTTTTGAGCCGTTCTCGTATTGATAAATTTTTCATCTTTGTTAATCTATTTCCATAATTACTTAGTCACCTGCTTTAGAAAATAGTTGTTCATTATGAGCGGGGTGTATTATGCATGATGGGGGTTGCCTAATATATAACAAACAAATACTTTATTCCTTGATATTTCCTTTAATTTGCACTTTATTCAGTTTTATTCTAAATTTCAATTAATTTTACCAAATATTTATACACATGTTTTTATTTGTATTCACTTTTCTTATATATCTGTGTTATTTTGGGCTTCAAAAGATCATTAATTCAATATTTTATTTTTCTTTATTTCTATTATTATATTTAATTTAAAATTTCACATTCTAATTCTTAAACAGTAATCTTTATATAATTGAAATAACGCAGGGGCGTCACTAACCTTCACAATCTCATGGGGCTCAACTAAAAAAAAAATTATGGCTTCGCCCCCCATACATCTTATTTTTTAATATTATATATTATACTTTTTTAATAGAAATTACCAAACTGAACAATTATTCTAATTTTCATCCTTTGTCATTTATTATGCATACAAATAAAAAGTAAAACAATACAAGACATTTCTAAATATATTATTTTTAATACAAAATTTATTACAATATTAAATATTTTCGATTGCCAATATAAAAAAAAATTTTGTCTAAAGAATTACAAGTGAAAAAGGTTAACCTCAATTGATAATGGTTTTTAAAAACCACAGGGCGATATGATTCTTAGCATCCTACTCTGACAAAAGGTCATTAAAATAATATAACGTATTGTTACCATTTTAGATAATGTTTTATAGAATTGACTAATAAGGAAAATTTTTTAGGCCTAACCAACTCAATAATTCTTAAAGAGATAATACGACTAATCCAAATTATAAGACTATATGGGTTAATAATTGCTAAATCAACGTATAGCAAATTTTTAAATACCAACCTATGCTAAATACCGACCAAAATTTATTAAAATGTAATAAAAACCCTTATTATTTAACATATATTATAAGGAATCACGTCGAGTCCAGTCTCCTATATATCACCCCCCCCCCACCTATGGAACCACCAAGTTGTAATATGAAAAAAAATTGATTTTTGTTGGGATTCAGTAATCGAGATTTTGTGATATATTAAATTTCTAAAATATTATCTTCCATTTTTAATGATATATAAACGATAAGCAGTTTATCGTTATTGCTCATCTAATTTATGCAATTAAATGCTATCAGCAGCAGGAGTAATAGCTTTAAATTATATAGCCACACAAATAATAGAGGCTGGTTTTCAGTCATAGCTATGATACTCATTATGTAAACTCTTATCAGAATATATTATGTTATATAAATTGATAATACAAAAAACACCTAAAATCTTTAGATGAAATAATTATGCAAATATATTGAAGCCATGAGTTATTTACACGGCAAGGATGTCATATTAGAAATGAAACATTTAGTAACTATAAAGGACCAGAGTAATGTGATGAAAGCAATTAAGATTTTATATATTATTGTCGCACCACTTCTAGTTTGCATATTATATCTTAGAATAATAGTTGTTTGTAATAATATTAAAAATATACTTGTATTAAAAATTTAACTCAAAACTGTTTATCAAAGAAGAAAGAAAATAGTTTTCCTAAAAACACGTAAAAAAAGAAAAGATATTTAATAAGATTACATCCTTTGTGGGATGAATAAATAATATGATGTTTAATTTTTAATAATATTTTTAAATAAATAGATGGCATTAAGGAATTGAATGCAAATAAATAAAGAAAATTTATTATTAGTAAAATTTATTAAAATATTAACTGTAATATATTCTATATCTGTCAAATACGTGATCAAAGTGACATTCTACATAATATTTTATAACCAATTTTATATATGTAATAGAGGATTATCAACTATATCTCTACTTACTTTTTATAAAGAAATATCTTATACTTATTTGGGCCTTGAAAATATTCTAGGAAGAGGCATGATAATTAAATTTAAAAATGAATAATATAGTTGATTAGTGATTTTGAACTCGGCTAATTACAATATTAAATTTGTTAATTTTCAATTATTAAATGATTATATTTATTTAATTAGGTTTATAAAATAATTTAAATAATAAAAATCAATTAAGCTCCATATGACTGATATTGATATTCCATTTTTAACACAGAATTTGATTGCTAACTGATATACTGAATATAATTTATATTTATTAATCTAATCTAATAATTTAAATAGCACTCATTTAATAAAAATTTAGATCTATTTAAATTTTAAATAATAAAAACAAATCTATATATATACTTAATAGCATTATAAAAGAAATAATTGAGTGGACTATCAAAACATTTATTTTTAGTTCAGATGTATATTAGGGAATCATTAAGAAGAAATTTTTTACGCTTTAGAGGGCTATTCAGATTTTTCAGGTGGCTATAGCCTCTACGCCCTACCCCATAGTGACGCTACTGAAATAACGTTAAATTTGAATTTTATAATAACACTAGTTGATAACCCGTCAAAAATGACGGGGATGAGAATTTTATTCGTTCTTTTACGATAATTCTCTTTACCCTTCCCCCTCCTCCTTCAGGCCAATTCCAACCCATTAAGACTAAGAGTGATGAATTGTCTTTTTTATTCAATGATTGATGAATAATATAAGTTCTCTTTTCTTTGCTCAATGTGGTTTCGTTTTTGAAGATGTTGAAATTTCCTTGCTCGTAGTTTGCCGTAAATAACCTGAAAAAAAACGTGTAAATTGAAATTATAAAATAGAATTTACTGTTGTTGGTGAGGAAGATGGTTTAGCGATGGTGAAGAAGTTCTCTTTTCTTTGCTCAATGTGGTTTCGTTTTTAAAGATGATGATGTAATTTCCTTGCTCGCAGTTTGCCATAAATAACCTGAAATAAAACGTGTAAATTGAAATTATAAAATAGAATTTACTGTTGTTGGTGAGGAAGATGGTTTAGCGATGGTGAAGAAGTTCTCTTTTCTTGGCTCAAGGTGGTTTCGTTTTTGAAGATGATGTAAAGTTGGTGATTTGATGGTGAATAACAAAGTTGGTGACTTTTTTAAATTTCTTACAAATTATCAATTTAAGATTTCATTATATACGATATTTTGTGTGAATGTTTTATCATTTTTTAAAATTTTTCCTTGTAATTCTGATGGCAAAATCATAATTTTCATATTATTTTGAGATTTACATCTAGTAAGAGCCACATATAGTTGTCCATGGGCAAAGACGGGCTCAGGGAGGAATAAGCCTACATGATCAAAAGTTTGTCCTTGACTTTTATTTATTGTAATCACAAAAGCAGGAATTATAGGAAACTGTCATCTTTTTAAAGTAAATGGTAACTGAGAGTAACTTGGAGCTAGATCAATTCGTGGGAGAAAAACTCTAAATCTAACCCATCTCAAACCTTAGAAAATGAAGTGATTTTATATTTTCAACTAATTAAAATCTGCACCAGGGGGGAATTTTTAGCATAATAAATATATCATGTAAAAAATATCTATCTTTCTTAGGTCAAATAGAATTTAAAAAAATTGCCTGCAGTTTGCAAAAATAAATTTAAAAAAAAACAACTGATGAATAAAATAATAAATATATAGCTATCTCTAGGGGTGCATCAAAAGCACTATTTGGAAGCTGAACCAATTCAATATTGAAATTATTAAATTAATAATAGCTGATTACTGATCTATAGTCTGTAAACATTTTAGGTTTTAAATTTTAATACATATATCTACTCATCTCATATACTTTTTAATAGTATAACATCTATAATTTAATTATACAATAACATAAGTCCTTTAAATATATTGTAATGATCATTTATAGTTTATTATAAAATATTTTTAATGATAAATCACTTATTTATATCACATTAATCTATATACATAATAAGTAATAAACAATTTTATCAGATTGGATAAAAAATTTTATATAATTGGCAGATAATATTTTTAAAAGAACAAAATATCTGTTCAATCCGTTAAAGATGTTGGTAGATCCCTAGATATTTCTATTTTATAAACATGTAATATCAAAAACAGGCCCTTGAAAACACTAATATCAGATCCAATCGACCTATAAAAATCAGTTTAGCCAGAGGGATGTTTATAATAAAAAATCTTAAGGGTGGCATTATCTTGTACTCTGATTAAATTGGTTTGAACAAATCTTGCTAAAATATTGACCATCCAGACTGAACAATATTTTTATATAATTTCCTGTTGAGCCTGATATAATTTAATTTTAAGTTGCATGTATTTTATACGTAAGAAAATAATTATCTTGAAAAAAATAATAATTGAATAAAATAGATTTACTTTTTGAGAAGTTAAGTTCATTTTCCCAGTATAGATATACTTGAGTAATGTTTTAAATGCTTGATTTGAGGCATATGGAAGTGATTTGTGAATGAATGATTGAGTTTTCACGTTGATTACCATTGATCAAATTTGCTATAATCATTTTGATTGGACAAATAATATTTAAAAGAAAACTATTGGCTAAATTTGATTGACATTTTTTGAGGATTATATATATAGATAAATGAAACAAGTATAAGAAAAAGAATATAAATATAAATCGCATTCTATTTATAGAAGGTCGCGAAATTCGAACGTTATTAATATATAATTGTTTTTATATTTATTCTAATTTAATTATTCTAATTAATATTAATTATTATTAAAATTAAATTAATTTATTAATTTTATATTATATTTTTAGTTATTTTAATTTATTCTAATATTATTAATTTTTAAATTCTGCTATATATAACAATTTTTATTTTATACATTTTTACTTTTGAATTGATTCCATTATTTTGTTGATAATTATGATATACCTTTTAAATTTTTTTTAAAAGAATATAAATTTAAGCCAAAAGTCTTAACAAGACTCAAGTTGATCCAAATATTTTTTTTTCTTTTTTTTTAGATACAATATTATTTAAAGATCTATTAAATTATTTTTTTCACACTATATATTCAAGAAATACGTGGGAGTTTCGATTTTTTTATATAATCCCTTTTTATTTTTATTAATAAAGAAATTACTTTTTGGCTAAGAATTAAAATTTTCATTTGTTTTATTAAGATGTCTTCAGACCAGGGTTGCCATGTCTCACCCCATCAGCGGGAGACTCCTGCAATTTTTTAGTTTACACGCTGGCATCTCTCTCCTGCAAAACTAACGCGATTGGAAATCTCCCGCAATTTTTTAATTTCTCCCGCAATTATTTTTAATAGTATTTTAACGTTTTAAATATATAAATAATAATTTTGAGAGACATTAATTGATTATTTTTATATTTTTAAAATATTAAATATTTATTCGAAAAACATGTCTAGTTTGTAAATTTATTTCTATCCTGTTTTATTTTTATTTAATAATAAATCTTTCATTCATATAAATCAGTACAGGGGAGTATATCAACATCGATTGCAATACAAAATTATTCTCAATAATACAGATGCAACTACATTTGCGGAAATTGTATACATCTATCATGTAGTTCAACATTCACAGAGCTATATCATCACAGACGGGGAATAAGATTTTTATTCATTTTTTACGATAGATGTCATGCCAGGTTCAAGCTCACAATATTAGGAAGCATCCAAGATCTTATAATTTTGAAAAAGTTTATCAAGCCCAGCTCAACCCTTAATAATTTGTAAAAGATATTCCTAAGTCAGCGGCAAGCTTATATTAATTTTGAGGTTCCAAGCCCAGTCCTACCCATTATAATTTTGAAAATTTTTTCCCGCCTCGGAGATAGTTAAATTTTTAATATCATCTGAAATTTTTACAATTATTTTCTCAAGTTTTTTTAATAAAATTTTTCTTCGAAATTTCTTAAAATAGTGTTAAAGATTACTACTGTTCTGATAATTTTGTGTTTAAGAAAGCTCTTGGATTTTTTGTAAATTCCCTTATTTTCGGGTCTTTCGATTTTTTGATTGTCTGTAAGTTTTTTATATTTTGGATCTTGGCCAGTTTTTCTACCTTTATTTTGATAAGATCTTTTGAATTTTTTTCTTAAATCTTCTAGAGCAAGCGCGAATCATATCAGATTTATCTTATAATAATAAAGTGTTATAGAATAGCTATTAAATGCCTTTTTATTTAAATAACCAATCTTAAAACATATAACTGTATATTTATAAAGCTGGGGGTCTAAAAGGGGTAAGTATTATACTGGTCATTAGTGTCCAATAATTTATAAGTCATGAGTATGGATTTTTCTTTATATCTTACTATTTAGATTTTAAATTTTTATAAAATTTTAACTATATAGGTGAATAACAATTAAAAATACAAATTCTCTTTTACCTAATAATCCTATCCTTTCAATAAAAGAGGTAACTTTAATTCTTAAATTATTTATTCATTTATTTTATAAGTCTATTTCAATTATCCCCACCAATAAAGGATCTGTAATAATTAATTTTTCCTATTAAGCACCATCAAGCCTATCATTGACCCTTAATAAATATAAAAATTTGAGTCTCAAGCAGTGGCGTAGCTAGGAATTTTCATTAGAGGGGGTCCATACATATAAAATTCTGAGTTGGCCCTTTTGCCCGGCCTTCGGCCGGGTTTATCTTAAAAATCATAACCACATCTTCGACAATATATATAAATATTTTTAAATGCATGAATAATGTTATTATAATTTAGTAGATTATTTTCAATGACTTTATAATAATACTACCCAGAATAAATTCAATAGTAATATAATATCCTTTCACAAACATCAAAACCAGAAAAATATAAATATTAATGGTATTTATTTGATACAAAGTCACTTTTAAGTCTTTTGAACGTATAAGCTAAAAAAAAATTTGCTCTGGGAGGGGCCCAAACCCGAAAACTACCCCCGTAGCTACGCCACTGAACAGGCCTAATAAGTAATCTTGACAAATTACTCTTTAAGTCTGCAGCAAATGATGTTGACTAATTTTGTTTGTTCCATAAACTTTTGCATTTATCAAATGCACTATTTAATATTCTTTTAAAAGATACATCTTCTAATGCTTTTTCAGCATCAACACTTGCCACTAAATTAAGATTGTGGCAAGCACAAGAGTGATGTTTGGGGAGATAGATAAAGTTTCCTCCATATTTTGATTTTCAAACTCCTCATTTAATGATAATGATTCAATTTCATCTTCCTCATCTTCAGATATTTTCTCAAATAATCTATAATTTTTTTTAAATATAAAAATTAAAATATAGACTATTTATTTATACCTAAAGGCCTTTAAAAAGTTTCTTGCATTATCAGTGACACATAATGTTACCTTATTATGTATTTTAAATTTCTTTAGAAGGTTTGAAATTGTTTCAGCTAAATAATCATATGTGTGTTTGCTAGTTAGCCTTTGGCAAGCTAAGCATGCCGATTTTCTTTCTAAAATGACAGCATCTAACAAGTGTAGAATCATGCCTAAAAACGAACTAATAATATAAACAAATTGATATATTCAAAGTTTAATGTACAAAATACCGATGGTATGATGACCATGAATCTGCTGTGATGCAAAGAATTGTTTGATTGCCTAAACAAGTTATCATTTTATCTATCATGATATTATAATCTTTTGATATTTTTGACACAAGGGTCGGGCGTGACATAACCTTTTTATTTGGTTGTAATGTGGTTATCATTTTTACAAACAGGTTTTTCAACAATATTAAAAGGCTCTAGTTCTTCTATAATGAAGTTAATTATTGCATCATCAATTTGTGATTGAATCACTTTTGATGCATTTTTTTTATAATTTAAGAGTGTCTATTGTTATAATTTCTCAGCCTTTACTTTTTTTTAATTGTATCACTATAATTTGTTAAATGATCATTAATTTCTTGCATCATACTATCATGAGAACTCTGTAAAAATTAAGGAATTTTTGATAAATTATGCTACAGATAATATTATTTTATTAAATTGGTAATAGCAAAATTATGACTTATAAAATAATTCTAAAATCAGTAATTAAAGGAATTTTTGATAAATTATGCTACAGATAATATTATTTTATTAAATTGGTAATAGCAAAGTTATGACTTATAAAATAATTCTAAAATCAGTGTTTGGCAGTACCACAAATACTTGTATCTAAGATACAAGATCCTTTTGTATCTTGTACTCAGTACTTTTTGACATTTTTAACTAGTCTGAAAAGAATCTTTTTCATTTTCTTGACAAAAATATATTCTTTTTAATATTTATGTTTTTTAAAATTTTACATATCACAGTATATATCTTATTTTCCCCTATTTTAAATACATTGACAAACAAAATTAGCTCCCATAAAAATACTAGTTTCCCTTTCATATCTATGCTAAGAATGGACTAATACTAATATTAAAATGCCTTATTATAATTAAATTTATATATATATATTATGTAATTATTTTTACTTAGAACAATTAAAATAAATTATTAACTGGCTATATAGTTATACATATTATATAATATAAAATAATTAATGTTACAATCAGATGTCTTTTTAAATTGAAGCTTGAAGATGTTGACACTGATATAATAATTTTTGGACACATTTTACATTTGGTAACTATTGAATTACCTTTTGATTTTAAAACAGTGAAATATTTTTGATATTTGTCCTGGTAATTCTAATTCATCTAATATTGAATTTTGATTTTCAGAATCTGATGATGAAATATTTATATCTATGCAAATGCTAATCTATTAAATTAAAATATAAAATATTCAAATTAATAAACTTTAATCTTATCTTCTCTAGCAGTAGCACGTTATGGTACCTTAATAGCAATATGAAAGAGTAAAAAGTAAAAACAGCTGATTAAAAAATATAAGACTTTTTTGTTAAAAAATTGAATTAAATATTAAATTTTCAAATAAATAAAAATATAAGACTTTTTTGTTAAAAAATGCGGATTAATATTAATTTTTCAAATAAATAAAAATAAAAAGTGTTTTTAAAATTGAACGAACGTAAAATTGAACACGTTCATCAAAGAAAAGGAACGCGTTCCCGTTCAAAGTTCGTCAAAAAAAAGGAACGCCGTTCATCACCTTTTTTCAAAAAAACGAACTTCGTTCACGAACGCGTTCATTTTGAACGCCTTCGTTTACAACATTATAATTTATACATTTTTGGGAAAAAGCATTTATATATAAAAAAAGTGAGCCAAAAATGTTTTATAAGAAATAGAATATAAGCCAAAGATACTTAAGACAAAAGTGAAATGTATTATAATTATTAATTATAGATCCATAAAATTATTAAATAATAGTGTTGTAAACGAACGCGTTCAAAATGAACGCGTTCGTGAACGAAGTTCGTTTTTTTGAAAAAAGGTGATGAACGGCGTTCCTTTTTTTGACGAACTTTGAACGTGAACGCGTTCCTTTTCTTTGATGAACGCGTTCAATTTTACGTTCGTTCAATTTTAAAAACACTTTTTATTTTTATTTATTTGAAAAATTAATATTAATCCGCATTTTTTAACAAAAAAGTCTTATATTTTTATTTATTTGAAAAATTAATATTTAATCCAATTTTTTAACAAAAAAGTCTTATATTTTTTAATCAGCTGTTTTTACTTTTTCCTCTTTCATATTGCAATTAACGTATCATAGTGCTACTGCTAGAGAAGATAAGATTAAAGTTTATTAATTTGAATATTTTATATTTTAATTTAATAGATTAGCATTTGCATGGATATAAATATTTCATCATCAGATTCTGAAAATCAAAATTCAATATTAGATGAATTAGAATTACCATGGCCCAAATATCAAAAATATTTCACTGTTTTAAAATTAATTCCGAGATATCCTTTTTTTTTGACGAGAAAGAAGAGGGCAGATTGGAGGATGATAACATAGCTCAATTTTTTGAAACAATGGATAAAACATTAAATGTTTTTAATAAATTCCCCCTTTTAAAAGAATTTATCAAGTATAACACCGCAATCCCTTCATCTGCCCCTGTTGAGCGAGTTTTTAGTATAGCTAACGCTGTATTAACTGACAAGCGTTCATGCCTATCAGATGAAAATTTTGAAAAGCAATTATTATTAAAAATTAATAAGAAAAATTTTTTATAAATTTATTTTTTTTATCGCTCTATTATATTGTATTTATAATTATATTATCAAAATAAAACTATTATTTTTTATCATGGCTAATATATTGTGTTGAAAAATATAAGGCAAATTTTAATTTATTTATCTTAATAAAAGTAAAATATAATTATAAAACTATTGATAGAATTAAATCATTAATTAAATAAAAAAAAATTAAAGCACAATACAAAAAGTTAAATATTATATGTCGTAGATATCTAATTTTATCAATTGTCATATGACAATCAAGTAATTTTTCCAATATAGCAAATTATATATTTTACCGAAAACTATAAAATATTGATAAGGACATCAGAAAATATCTTTTAAAGACATTGTGGGATGAATAATATGAAAATTAATTTTAATATCATTTTTTATTTAAAATAAATAGATGGCGTTAAATATCTGAATGCAAATTGTTGCTATTTTTATTATCAAGAGCATTGATTACGTGATACGTGATAAAAGCGTTTTCGCCCTCTGGTTGTGGATACAACAGAGCTACGCTAGGTTTTCCTCAAAAATCCATCAAACTGGATAGTTAATTAAGGGGAGAAAAATGAGGAGCCCTTCACACGTTTGTGGGCAAGCCGCACGTACTTGTACGCGCAACAGTCCGAGAACTGTTGCTTAAACGTCTATAGGCTAATAAACAAAAAGAAATGGGCAAAACAAAAGCCTATACCCAAGAACTGCAAAAATAATTTAATTACTTTAAGGGTGGGTGGTGGCTAATTTTAAGTTGAACATCAAATGTAAACCTTGATAGTTACTAACAATAATTGAGAATGTGTTCATATCAATCGAGATTAGAATTTATTCATGAAAATAAGAAAAAACTAAAGGGTTTACCGCAAATTGTTTAAATAGGTGAAGATTCCAGTGAATAGGCAAAAACTAGTCAGTAATGACTATCCAGCAACGAACACCACACAACAAATTTTTTTTTCTTTTTCTTATTTTCTATTTATTTTAGGATAAGTCCATTTCAATTTAATCTAACAGAGACAGAGAAAGGATCAAATTTAAAAATATAAAATTTACATCTATACAAACAAAATGATTATATTATTAATTTGCCTCCAACTATTCTCATTTCTAAAAAGGTTTTATATTTTGTTTAATTATTATTTATTGCTATTTAAAATATTAATTTTTTTAAATTTAACTTTTTTGTTTAATTATTATTTATTGCTATTTAAAATATTAATTTTTTTAAATTTAACTTTTTACAAAAGAATAGTTGAAAGCAAAGAGTAATTAAATTATTTTGTTTGAATAGAATAATAGATGTAAATTTTATATTATTGAATTTGATCCTTTCTCTGTTGTGAGATATAATTTAAATTGACTTATCTTAAAATAAATGTATAAAAAAGAATATCATATTTTTTTGAAAAGATAGGATTCCTAGGTATATGAGAATTTATTGTTATTCTTATCTATATAAAATAATATAGATAACTTAATATATAAATAACATAGCAAATTATTATGTCACAAAAAATAGGGTATAAATTTACTAATAAAAATCTAAAGTCTGAATAACTGAGTCATGAAAATTTTTGTATTGGTTTAAGGGTTCAATGATAGGTTTGTTAGTGCTTAATAGAACAAATTATTACTATCCTTTATTGATTGAATTTTAAAAAAAATGAATATTAAATTAAAAAGAATATGGAAAATAAGGTTACCTTTTTTATTGAAAGGATGGGATTATTAGGTGAAAGAGAATTTGTATTTTTTATTGTTATTCATCTATATAGTTAAAATTTACCTATAAAAATTAAAAATTTAAATAGTCAGATAAAAGGAAGAATCCATACTTATGACTCATAGATTCTTGAACTTGGTTAAGAGTCAATAGTAGGTTAGGCAGTGCTAATTATATTTAGCCCATCATTAGTAATTTTAATTTATGTGCACAATAAAAAATCATTTGAACTAAATTTTTATTCATTTATTTGCAATTTTAGAAAAATTTTAAAATAACCCCTGATCTTAATAAAATTTCTGAATAAGATCCCATTAAATAGGAAAATTTCTAATTATCCATCATTGAATAAAGGAGAAAATTATTCCCCATTAATCTTGATGGGCTATCAGCTAGTTTAATATATAATGATATCAAATGTTAAATTTATCATATATTCAAGAATTAAAATAGTCTTTAAATAAATATCTTATTCCGCTTGAATTGGTACTTGATGCGTTAAAGTTCTACTGATCCCTAAATTTTCAGGAATAGGTATAATATTATAGGTGTTTATTCAATTTTTTCATAATCAATAATATATTTTACAGGCATTTTCAACTGAGCACTTTATAGATTTAGAATTAATGGCAAACTTATCAATAGTTATGCCAAATGTGCATTCAATCACTACTTAACTTATAATGTTTTGCTTCTGGACTGGTATTTTTCATAGAATAAGGTTTCATAGTTTTTTAAGGTGTTTGATATTGGTTTTTCTAACTCTATAATAATTAAAAATTATTTATTAATTTTAAAAATTTACTTTGATATAAAGTGCTTACCATCTAATGAGCCAGGTCAAAATGTTTTTGTGCAATCTAAAAATATATTAATATATCTAAATTTATAATACCTTCTCCCAATGTTCTCTAATTGGAACTGGCATATGAATATCTTTTAAAGTTTTCCATATAGCATCACATACCTCTGGAATGATGTTAACAATGCATTTTGCTTATTCTGCTTTTTAACTTGGTTTGTTTTTTCTTATATTGGTAGTTGGGTTATGTTGAAGAATCTAATAAAAATAATATAATTATATATAAGAACTGAAAAAATTATACTTGGTTGCTGGATACCATTGCTTTGATATGTGAAGTGAATGAAATGGTAAGTGTATAAATGCTGAGCTTGGTAAGGTGATTACTATTGGACCGATTACGCTATAATCATTTTTATTGAACAAATATGTTTTTAAAAAAAACTATTGGCTAAATTTGATTGACGTTTTTTGAAGATTATTATAATAGATCTAAAACTAAATATGATACTTAAAATAAATATAAAATAAGGTATATACAGAGTTGTTAAAAGATCGAATCAAAAGATCGACGATCTTGGATTCGATCGCAAATTTGTCAATTTTACGAGATTTATGATTCTGACTAAAATTGAGGATCGAGATCATTTTGTTTAAAATTCGATCCCGATCTTTTTAAAAATTAATTTTTTACTTAAAAAGCAATAAATAAAATAAAAATTTTGAAAATTAAATTAAAATATTATTTAAAAAAAAAAAATCTATCTTCATATTTTATCAACTTCCATTCCACCATTTATTTTATAGATATATTTATTCATTTCCTAAATTTTACGAGATTTAGAGCTCTTACAAGTTATTTAATATAAATTTATAATAATAAATTAATATTTATTTTAATAGGTTAATGTAAATGTCCATTATAGATTTAGAAGATTCTATTGGGAAGATATTTAATAGCTCCCAATAAGACAAGATGGATTTCTTATTACCAATCCATGAAATTAATAGATAAGATGCTTTCTGAAAAGTTTTCAGAAGTAGAAAAAGTATGTGATCAAATTGAATTTGCAATGTTTAGGCAAGAGGAATGTTTTTTTGTTAAAGAGTATGCAACAGTAATACAATGATATTCTCTAAATAAATTTAAATTTTATAGGTTATGGAACCTTTGGCGATCTCGTTAAAAATCTTGGAACGGGAGGATAATATGGAGCAGGAATATCTAACTCCCGTTCTATCGATATTGATAGATAAATTAACGAAATTTAGCTGCCTGCGGTATTGTCAGCCCCTTGTAGATAGTGTTCTTAAAGGTATTGTTAAAAGGTAATATTTTTTATGCAATTATTTTATATTAACAGATATCTGCAAAATTTATTAAAAAATTGCAAAGATCTGGCAAATTTAGTAAAATATTTTTAACAGGCCAGTTCTACTAAACCTCTGATATCTAGTAAAATATTAATGGGCCTTTGAAGACATTAAAAATTTATTAGATTATTTGAATTTTAAGCTAATATTTTGATTAATATTCTTTGTAAATAAATTACAATGTTAATTTCTTTGTATATAAAATATTAAGTTTACATTTAATCAATATTTATGATATGACCCAAATATAAATAAATACCATACAGATGATTTGCCAGACTTGACTGTAAAATTTAAAAGGGTTAAGTTTTGCAGATACTTGATTTGATTTATATGAATAAAATGAACACTTATTTAATAATAAATTAATTATCATTTCATAATATAGATTTCCTTCCCTGTATGAAGACAGTAACATTTTAGCAGCCATGATTCACCCTAAATTTAAACTTAATTGGCCTTATATTAATCTGCCACAAAATATGATGGTAAAAGAAAGATTAGTTGCCCATTTGGAAAATATGCAGGAATAGCCATATGCTGATACCTCAAATGAATGTATGGATGACATTGATGCTTTTTTGGGGAAAAATATTGTACAGAATGTTCCGTTAAAAAATTTTTTTATTCAAATGATGATTTCATGAATATTTTTAATACTTATATTAATTATATTTATTGAATATAATACACCTTTGCCATCAAGCACTCCTGTGGAGCGCTTGTTTAGTAAAGCTAAACATGTTCTAAATGAAAGATGCGGATGTTTAAATGATGATAATTTATAAAAAATTTTATTATTAAAAGCTAATTTTAATTATAAATAAAAATATTATAATTGTTATATTTATTATTACACAATTACAATAAATTTCTACCATATTTAATTTATTTTTATATTAGTTAATTTTGCATCGGTTATATTATATTATTATTCAATTACAATAAATTTATAACATATATTAGTTAATTTTGTATCGGTCAGAAATTTCTTTCAGAGATTTAAATAGAAAAAAAAGGTCGATCCTGGATTTCGATCCTCTTTTTTATAAAAAAAGGTCGATCCTGGATTTCGATCCTCTTTTTTTTAAAAAAAAGGTCGATCCTGGATTTCGATCCTCTTTTTTTGAAAAGATCGTGATCGGGATTCGATAGTTTTAAAAAGATCGGTTAACAAGCCTGGGTATATATATATGTATTATAGAAAAACAAATAAAACGAAATACATAGTTAAAGGCTAAAATGTTTAAAATAAAAGTAATTTAAGTTAAACAAATTTAAAAAGTCAATCTCGATTAACATTCCCCTTCTTCTGAAAAACCTTCCCATAATCCATATGAGCTGTTATATGTCGTCCAAATGATTTATCAGGTTGTCAAGTTGTTGTATAAGTCATCTTAATCGTTGGCTTGTTTAAATCGTAAGCTTGATATCCTTATCGTAAGTTATAAATCGTAATTTTGTCATGTAGCTTGCTTATAGTACACAGTGGTTATTATTATCAATTTTTCAAAATTATTATTATCATTATTATTGTTGGAATATATGAATAATCGGAGAATTGATCACATTTGGATGTTAGAATAATAAAAGGATGATAAATCAACAAGATTGTTAGTTTAATTTATTTTTACATATTTTAATATTTTAAGTTATATAATCTTTTAGATAAACAGGTTTTTGTCTACTTCGTATCGGTCTAGGAATCGGTTTTACAAAATTTTTATCATTAGTTCTAATATTTTTGTCCACACTTCCGTCCTTCTTAGGAGAGTCGTGGTATGCAAATGTGTTATAGCACACGAATTTGATTGAAATTGATAGGTAAATCCCCATAGTCATTTATTATAGTGATATTTTCAACAACTTCATCATGACATTCTTGTGGCAATCTCGAGAGACAATCAGGAACAACGTTATATTTACCGGCTTTATACTTTATATTAAAATCATACCATCCTAATGTTATGTTCCACTTCTGGAGTCTTAAGGACATGGTACTATTATCCTTAAGACCCTTGGTAAAGATGTGAACAAGAGGTTTATGGTCAGTAATAATTGTATAGTGTCGATTAAGTATTCCTGGAACCTCTTTATAGCGAACATAATAGCGAGAGCCTCACGCTCAATATTAATGCAATTCAATTCGGATTTTAATAAAGTTCTCGACGCGAAAGCTATAGGTTTTTCTTTACCGTCTTTTTCAGTATGAAATAATTCGGCTCCTAAACCACATTTAGATGCGTCAGTGGCTATCCCTATAGGTAATTCAGGGGTAAAATATGTCAAAGCAGGAGGAAGACTAAACAACTTCTTAAAATTATTAAAACTTTTAGAGTGTTCTAAGTTCCAAGCCCATTTTTCTTTGTTGACGATTTTATATAGAGGATCGGCTATTTATGCAAAATTGTTCAAAATTTTCTATAGTAGCCAGCCATTCCTAGAAATGTTGATAATTCAGCAGCTAATTTTGGTTTTGGGATATTAATTATTGCTTTAATTTTGTCGTGATTAGCATGAATCCCCTTGGCGTCAATATCATGACCCAGGAACCTCACTTTGTTTTTAAAAATAAACTTTTGGCGAAGTTAGGTACTAACCCGTACGATAATATTCTCTCAAACACCTTTTTGATGTTGTTAAAATGTGCTTCATCGTTATTTCCAGTTATTAATAAGTCATCAATATAAAATATAACATCTTTCATATCACCGAAAATTTGATCCATGATTTGTTGGAATATAGCAGATGAAGTTTTCAACCCAAAAGGAAGTCTGGTAAATTGGTAGTATCCCTTATGTGTGGATATAGTCAAAAATTTTATGCTATTTTTATCAATCGGAACTTGTATAAAAGCATTTTTGAAATCGATTTTTGTAAATTTTTTCCTTCTGAAAGTTTAGCTATAAGATCATTTATACGTGGAAGTGGGTATCTAAAGTCTTCGAGAGCTGGGTTTATAGTGTCTTTAAAATCTGCGCAAAGCCTGATACTCCCATCATCTTTGTATACAGCGGTTATAGGGCTCGCCCATCGCACATCATTTACAGGCTCAATAATTTTTTCGTGTATCCATCTATTCAGTTCTTCGCCCACAAGATCAATCTTTGAATACGGTATGTCTTGGTGGTATTATTTTAGGTTGGGCCTCACATCTTAAATGTAATTTGACATTTACTTTGTTAATTGGTTCGCTAGTCAATTTGGATTCACAATCTTTTTTCATCTTCATAATTGGTGTCGACATTTCCTATGAATTTATTTAAAATATTTTTAAAAGCATTGATCCAGATTCTTCCTAATAACGCGTTCTTTCTCGACTCTACAACTACTGCTAATAAATATTTAGTGATTCCTTCATAACTTACTTTAATGATTTTAATCAGGTTTCCGTCGTAGGCTGTAAGCCGCAATCTGGATTTCTTTATTTCTCTTATACCAATTTTTTTAGCCATATCATGAGGTATGATGGTATACTTTGATCCAGTGTCAACCTGCATAGTTGTAGTAACATTATTTACTTTCAAAGTAGTTTTAAAAGCACTGTCATCATCTTTGTCTGTATTTTCAGCCAGGTTGTTGACATTGTAATCATTCTCATTATTGTCTTTGGCAGTGCCAACTTTATTTTCCCCAACTTCTTCAATGTTCATATTACAATTATTGCTATCGCAGAAGTTTTGATTATCATACTGGATTCGTTTTCTTTGATTAAAATCCTTCCACCGATTACGATCGTCATATTCGATTTGTTTTCCTTGGTTATCATTACTATGCCACCTGTTGTTTCCTTCATAATTATTTGAATTGTTGTTGTAAGATCGGTAATTATTATGATTTTGATCGTCACATTGAATCTGTCTCCTCTGATTATAATTAAACCAGGCGTGGTTCCTACCATAGTTGTTGTTATAAGATAGATAATTATTATTATGAAAGTTTCTGTTGCTATTGTTATACCGATAATTGTAATTTTGATAGTTACTATCATTAAACTGATTATTTCTATAGTTATTATTATTATAATAATTATTGTTTCTAACATTACTAAAATTCCTATTCCTGTTGTCGTTAACATTACTAAAATTGTTATCATCATAATTTCTATTCCTACTGTCAAAATTTTGCCTCGAATAATAATTAGGTCTATTATAGTTACTATTAATCTCATTCCTATTAGAAGTACTTTGGATATCTAAATTCTTATCATTATTCCTATTATTGTCATTATTTTTATTAAATTTGTCACTTTCTGATTTAATGTTAATACTATCTAATTTTCTTCCTATTTCAATCATTTCGTCTAATGTGTAGTTAATATTTTTATTTAATTTATTTTTTAAATTGTCATTTAAACTAGATGTTCTCAATTTTTCTTTTATGCGAACATCATTAATAAAATTACACTGTCTACTTAACTTAGACACTCTAAAAAAACCATTCAAAAAAGATTCCTCAACACCTTGTGAAGCAAGGTTAAACTTCCCAGTCAATATCCAAACATCTTGACTGGGTAATAAAAATTTTAATTTTTTAATAAAAATTTTATAATCTTTGATATCTTACTTAGTACATAATGACTTAATTTTATCGTATAGGTCATCAGATAAATTGCTCCGGATAAAATTGTTTGAGAGAAATAATCGTTAAGTCTCTCCAAATAAGTGTCCATCAAGCACCCCTCTAATTTTGTGAACTTAACTTTTTAAAACTTTATTTAAATTAGCAAAGATAAATATTGTCATTATTATGTATTAAATTTTTTTTTTTTATCCAAATTGCAAATTTTTATTTTAAAACTTTATTTAAATTAGCAAAGATAAATATTGTCACTATTATGTATTCAATTCTTTTATTTTATCCAAATTGCAAATTTCTATTATAAAACTTTATTTGAAATTTCTTTATTTATTCCTTTTGTTATTTTAATTATTTTTGCAAAGATTATAATTTTATATGGATGGGTTTTAATTTAATCGTCAATATGTATATTAAATCATCACAACACTGTAAGTTATTACAATTGCCGCAACTGTAGTTGCATCTGTATTATTTCTTATTTTTGGAGTACCTTATTATGTATTTAAACGTGATAAGTGATAATTAAGCACCTATCCCTATAATGTTATACACATACACGGTAGATTTCCAATTGCGGTAGTTTTGCGGGACATTCGCAAATAAAATATTTTTAATTGTAAAATTAAAATCGTTTTTTTTTATAGAATTTTATCTTGTTTACATTCTTTTATATTTAAAAAAGATCGTTGGTTTTTTTATAAATTAATATATTTTAATAAATCAAGATGTTATTTTATTTTGTATTTATATAAACTAATTATAAAAAATAATAGGCGGATAGGCTCGCAAAAATTTTTTTTAATTTTTATATTTCTACCGCAATTTTCATATTTTTCCCGCATAATACCAAATTTCTCTCGCAATTTGAAAATTTTGACCTGGGAACCCTGCTTCAGACATAGGCCTAGCCAGGTGGGGGGGGGGAAGAAAATCTACCCCCCCCCCCTTAGAAATTTTTACCTTTTGTGAATATCATTTTAATTATGCTAATAAAAAATATACCCCTTAGTCCTCTCCACACTCTGTGTCCCCCAAAAATGTATGCATATGTCTTAAACAATAAATTTTTTTAAACTAAAACTATTAATCATAATTAATACTTTTTTGGAAAAAGCATTATATATAAAAAAAGTGAAACCAAAAATGTTTTTTAAGAAATGAAATATAAGCCAAAGATAAGTCTTAAGTCAAAAGTGAAATGTTATCTAATATTAGATCCATAAAATTACTAAATAATATAATAAATAACTTCAATTTATTTATCTTAATAAAAGTAAAATATAATTATAAAACTATTAATAAAATTATATTATAAATTAAATTAAAAAAATCAACGCACAATAAACAGTGGAATATTATATGTCATAGATTTACAGTATATCTAATTTTATCAATTATCGCATGGCAATCAAATAATTTTTACCAATAGTTAATTATATATTTTACAGAGACTATAAAATATTGATAAATATCAAAAAATATCTTTTAAAGAATGTTAATGAAAAAAATTTCAGTAGCGTCAATATCTAATAAGGTAGGTTAATAATGCTTAATACCTTAAGGTAACCTATCAAATTGGTATTTTGTTTATTTTTTATTGATAGGCACTACCAAATATATTTGTAATATATATTTGAAAAATCGTGATTTTTGAAAGCCTCTGTGGCCTAGTCGGCAAGATAATCATGGGTTCGAATCCCAGCAATGATCATATTTTTTTTCTTAATCTAACCAGCTGGTTCCGTCCTTGGGGGAATGATATATAGGTGGCCGGACTCGACCACGTGATTCCATTATAATATATTAAATAATAAGGGTCTTATAACATTTTAATAAATTTTGGTCGGTGTTTAGCAAATTTGGTTGGTATTTAAAAAATTGCTATACGTTGACTTGGTAGCAGTGGCGTAGCTACGGGGGGGGGGTTTCGGGTTTGGACCCCCCCCAGAGCAATTAATTTTTTTTTTAGAATATTCGTTTAAAAGACTCAAAAGTGACTTTATATCAAATAAATACCATGAATATTTATATTTTTCTTGTTTTGATGTTTGTGGAAGGATATTATTACTTTTAATTTTAAATATATATATATAAATTATTCTGTATATTATTTTAAAGTCATTGATAATAATCTATTAATTTTAATAATATATTATTGATGCATTTTTAAAAAAATATTTATTATAAATTATCCAAGATATGGTTCGAAAATAATAATATGAAATAAAAAAGTGCATAATCTACCCCCCCCCCACTCCCCACCCCCCCCCCCCCTCAGAGCAATTTTTTTAGATTATTCGTTCAAAAGATTCAAAAGTGACTTTATATCAAATAAATACCATGAATATTTATATTTTTCTGGTTTTGATGTTTGTGGAAGGATATTATTACTTTTATATATATAAAAATTATTCTGTATATTATTTTAAAGTCATTGATAATAATCTAATAAATTATAATAATATATTATTTATGCATATTTAAAAAAATATTTATTATAAATTATCCAAGATATGGTTCGAAAATAATAATATGAAATAAAAAAGTGCATAATCTACCCCCCCCCCCCCCCTCAGAGCAATTTTTTTAGATTATTCGTTCAAAAGACTCAAAAGTGACTTTATATCAAATAAATACCATGAATATTTATATTTTTCTGGTTTTGATGTTTGTGGAAGGATATTATTACTTATATATATATATAAATTATTCTGTATATTATTTTAAAGTCATTGATAATAATCTAATAAATTATAATAATATATTATTTATGCATATTTAAAAAAATATTTATTATAATTTATCGAAGATATGGTTCGAAAATAATAATATGAAATAAAATAGTGCATAATCTACTTTCTCATGCTTTTGAGGTTAAAAAATATTTAATCCAGTGTACTAATTAATATCTTATGCATTATAGGCTCTATTGAAAATAATAAGGATGATGTAAATACACCAGGTCAAAATAACATTTAATATAAAAAATATTAAAAATTAATAGCTAACTATTTTTATTTTAGAATTTAAAATTAAACACCTAGTCATAGTTTTAACTAAATTAAAATTGCCAGTACAAACCACTTTGGGTAATTTATTATTTTAAATAATTTTGGCTAACCAAAATATTTTGACATTTATAAGATATACCCAAACGTGGGAGGGAAGAAAATGATCTTGATACACTCATTTATATACCCAAAGACCATATAAAATCACTACCTAGTACAAGTAATATAATCTATTAAGATTTAAATATTTTTTATTATAGATTTAGATATATCAAGTATTACATTTAATAAAAATGATGATAGTCAACAAAATGAACACACCAAATCACTAATTAATATAGAAAATCAAAATTTTAATGATGAACTTGATATCATAAGCAACAATTTACCACCCACATCAGGTATTTTATAATGACCTTATTTAAATGAATCACTAATTAATATAGAAAATCAAAATTTTAATGATGAACTTGATACCATAAGCAACAATTTACCACCCACATCAGGTATTTTATAATGACCTTATTTAAAGGAATCACCAATTAATATAGAAAATCAGAATTTTAATGATGAACTTGATACCATAAGCAACAATTTACCACTCACCTCAGGTATTTTATGAACTTATATGACCTTATTTAAATGTATTCATTTAAATTTTAGAAATACCTAGATACTCTATAAAAAATTATGATAAAAATAAGCTAAATACACTTGATCACTTCAAATCTCTACCTAGTAAAAGTAATGTTAACTATTACCTTTAAATATTTATATCATAATTTTAGGTATATCAAGTATCACATTGAAGAAGAATGATAGTAGTCAACAAAATATTATAGGCTGTATCAATTTAGAATTTAAAGGTTATCTAATATGTTGTTTTATTTTAATTTATTTTTATAGGAATATCTCAATTAATATTCACACCAAGGGGTAAAAAAAATAGTGATAACAAACAAAAAAATACACTAAGTCACAACAAATCACTATCTAATAAATGTAATGTAATCAATTACTTATTAATATTTACATTAAAATTTTAGATATATAAAAAATCTAGGGAGAATTTAAATGGAAATGAAGTTCCACTCATGTCAGGTATTAGTCTTATTTAAATTATATTTATTTAAAATCTTAGCAATTCCCACATACTCCAGAAAACTAAAGGATAATAGACAACCAATTATACTAGATCATTTAGAACCATCACCTACTACAAGTGATATAGTCTATTACTTTATACTTATAATAATCAAAAGTTGGTTCCAAAGCTAACATGTCATCTATGATTATTAGCCTAGGTTTCTCAATATTAATTTTAAACATCTATCATATATTGGTAAAAAAATATTGCCAACACAATTTTGATTTTTTCACTTTGAAGGATATCGACTTAAATTTACAGTTTAAAAAAAACATTTATTTTTTAATCTATAGTTTTAATGTGTTTACTAATTATAAAATATATCATTTATAATTAAGGCAATATAATATTTATAATTAAAGCAATTTATATGTGTAATACTAATATTTATAATTAAGGCAATATAATATTTATAATTAAAGCAATATAATATTTATAATTAAAGCAATATAATATTTATAATTAAATCAATATAATATTTATATTTTAAATAATCGCTTTTTATTTGTAAATAACTTCTAAAAGTATAATAAAATGAAACGTATATCAATAAAATTGT